GGATGGGCTCCAGTCAGCAGCAGCGGCGGCTGCGGCAAAGGGGAACTCTGCATGCCTGCGTGGTAATATAGAGGAAGCGTGGCCTGGGTCCTCTCACCCGCGGCCTGCGACGGTGGTGGTGAGGACAGTGAGGATGGTCCAGGACGGCGATGGTGATGCTGGTAAGGATGGTTCGGGGATCTGCTAACCCGGGTCAATCAGATCTGGGTCAGCAGGAAACCAAAAAACTGCAATGCAGGGCAAAAAACTGCAACGCAGGGCTTCGCAAACCCGGGTCAACCAATATGCGCGGCCGACTCGCGGCCACGAGCGGCTTGCTAACCCGGGTCAGCCAGAGGGGGTCTTCGCAGGATCCTGCAGGATCCAGTGCTCTGGTTGACCCCCGTTTGCATTGACCCCCGTCTCTCAAGCTCCGAATGGTGGGGATGAGGAAGGTGGTGTTGCTGATGCTGGTGCTGCTCATAGCGATGATGGAGCTGGTGATGGTGAGCACGGTGGTGATGCAGCTGATGCTGCTGATGACGATGCTGACGTGCCGTGACAGGCGGGTCGCATGCCCGACCCCTCCCTCTCTCGGCGCCTCCCCTGCCGACGCCTGGGCGGAGGCGGGAGTCGGAGAGGGGAGAGCGGTGTGGAGGGGGGGGTCGCGGAGGGGGGGGGGGTAGGAGGCCATCTGGGGCGGAGGCGGAGGGCAGGGCGGAGGCGGCCGGAGCGGAGGGCGGACGTCGAGAAGGTCGGAGGCCGCGGAGCCAGGTGGCCCAGAGGCGGGGAGGCCATGCCTCTGCCTGCGGAAGTGGCCGCCCGACTGCTCTGAGGCGGAAAGTTCCGCCTTACTTTTTCGTACGGTTTGGGGCGCATTCTCGACAGACATCTGGCTGCTCCAATTTTTTTCGATGCGCAAGCCCCTGAAGTCCAGACCACTTCCCCAGGCCGGGCCGGTTTTTCGTCCTGAATCGTTTTTTAACGCTCTCGAGGCCCCGCGAGGACCCCTGGAGGCCGAAAACTGCCCAAACCTCGCCGCTCCAATTTTTGGGGAGCGTCGGGTCTCTGGGTCGAAACAATCTTAAATCGGAGAATCAAGCAAAACACGGCGGATCCAGAGTCAGGGTGGCCTCAAGATGGGTATGGCCAGGATCGAGCTGCGCGTCTTCGCGCCATACCTCGGGCCCCCAGCGGCCGTTGCTCGGGGCGATCCGGGCACCTCCAGAACGCTCTCGGCGAGGCGCAGCTGCTGGAGAGCGCCCCGAGGCGAGCAAAAGAGCGTCCAGGAGCCCGCGAAAACGTCCGAACAAAAAACCCAACCTCGAACGTCCCTATTTATCCGATGTCCTGATTTTTTCAATGCGGGGTCCCCCGAAGTCTCGACGGGTTCCCAGCACTGGTTTTCCATCCTGCCTCGTTTTTTGACGCTCCCGGGCCCGGCGAGGGGGCCCCTATAGACGCTGAACATTGCGACCAACCTCCGGTTTGAGTTTTTTTCAATGGCGTTGGATCTCTGGGTCCGAGCACCTCGAGCGTTGCGTTGCCCCCGGGGCCCCCTCGGCACCAGCGGCGCTCGCGGAGGAGGAGGAGGAGGAGGAGGGAGGAGGAGGCGGAGGAGGAGGAGGAGGAGGTGGATGAAGAAGGGGAAGGAGGAGGAGGGCCCCTTCTCCGGCCGCGGCGCTCGCGCCCTCCGCCTCGGCCCCGCGCGCGCCGGCGCCGCAGCCGAGGCCGCGGGGCTCCTCCGCGCCCGGAGGCCGCGGGCGCGCCGCGCCGGACGGGCCGCCCTCGGCGGCGCCCTCCGCCCGCCTGCGGGGGCCGGGCGAGGCCCGCCCCTCCCCAAAGATGCAACGCATTGAAAAACTCAGGACGGAGGTTGTTCGTGACTTTCGGCCTCTGGGGGGCCCTCGCCGGGCCCCGGGACCGTCAAAAAACGATGCAGGATGAAAAACCAGACCTGGGGAATCGGTCGAAACTTCCAGAGACCCCGCATTGAAAAAATCGCACGACATCGGATCTTTGGGTCGGGGTGTCCTCCCAGTCACGCAGGAGGCATCTACCCATGGGCTTGGATATCTAGAATCGGGGAGACGTAAGACTCGGGTACGGGGGACTCGGGTTGGCCTGACGGGGCCATCGCAAAAATGATGAGACCCAATCTGAAATTGACGCGAGCTCCCGCTGCAAACATCCCACGAGAACAAGACCTTTAAACTCCAGGACGCGCTCGTCACAAAACGTCGGCAAACTCGAGTTCCGGCTTACTCGAGTCTTACGTGTCCCGATAGCAATAATATGTCGGACGTATCTGAAAATAAAAGATCCATGCAGGGCAGAAGACATCAAATACGTCTTGCGTCGCAGAAGGCATCTACCCATGGGTTTCTCGCGTCGGATCTCTGCAGAGATCCGACGATCCAAAAAGTTGGAGCGGCGGGATTTGAACAGTTTTCGGCCTCCAAGGGTCCTCGCGGGGCCTCGGGAGCGTCAGAAAAGGACTCGGGACGAGAAGCTGGCCCCAGGGAAGTGGTCTGGACCTCTGGGGAACGCGCATCGAAAAAATTGGAGCAGCCGCCAGACCCCTCGGGTCAAGGAACAAAACAAGACGGAAGGTTTTTGGTTCTTCTCGGCCTCCTGGGGCCCTCACCAGGCCTCGGGACCGTCAAAAAACGACTCGGGATGAGAAACCAGTCGCGGGGAATGGGTCGAGAGCTCTGGGGGTCGGCGTTCTGAAAAATATGACCTCGGGGGCCTGGGTACGCAGAAGGCATATCTACACTGCACCACTACCCTTCCTGGCCAGGGCCATCCTGGGCCCTGGCAGGGTGTATACGACTCCTGGCCGAGGCCAGAAGGGTCTATGTACACCATCGTGGAGCCCAGCGTGGCCCTGGCCGGGCACGGTGGTTGTGTATATAGATGGCATCTGCGGATCCCAGACACGCAGCGCCCTGGATAACAACTCGAGACGGAGGTCCCGACTCTGCCGCGGCCCTCAAATTTTACAACTTCTCTGCAGGTCCTTACCGGTCAGTGGTGCCATTCTACTGGCGAAGCTTTTGACGACAAAACGCAATTCAAAAAATTAAACGTTTAATCGCAAAATGCTCGGTATAGCGTTGGACCAATCGCGGCCGACTGAACGCGAGAACGCGAGCGCCCGCGGGATCGGCGGGAAGCGGCCCTGGAGGCAAAACCGGCCCCCGGTGGGGACTTCCGGGGACCGTGCACGGGAAAGACCAGGACGTCGCACGTCTGGGCCCGCGAGCCCCTCGAGACGTCCTCGCGCCGAGGGACAGGTCAAGACGGGCGGTGCCCTTTTGAGAGGCCTCCTGCCACACACACACACACACACACACACCCTGGAGCACAGCTCTGCGAACGTGGCCATGAGCTTCAGGGAACGTTCCGGAATCGCATGTGAGCATTTTCTTTCTCGGCGTTTCGACATTGGGCGGAAAAGGAGGGGGGAGGGGGGGGGGGTTCTGGGGTCTGGCTCCGGACATCTGCTTGATGCGACTGTTTGCAGCAGTGCGTCCTGTTGGGGAGGCTCCACCTGCTCGAAACAGGCGCCGAAAACAATCAAGATCTACTCCAGGGGGGGTGGGGAAAGGGATGGTGGTGCGAGAGCCCGCGCCGATCGGCAGAACAATAAATAACTTAGCTGCCCCGATACGCAACACGCAACACGTATCGTATTGACACGGAGCTCAACACGCAGGCTGAAAGCATAGGCCCGACGCCACACATTCGCCAAAACGTGGTCCAATACGTGGAGCCGACACGCAAGGCATTGACACGGGCGCCTTGAACACGGGACGTGTTGCGTTCCGAAACGGGCGTCTCGAGGCAACTGAGATGAAGAAGGAAACGATCACCACCGCAGCCTCTCCCGGCCTGCCCGGCCACGGGGCCCTTTCCTCTCGCCAGACGGCGGCCCGCCGCCCTCCCCCGCCCAGCGCTGCACATTCCCACCCTGGCCCCGGTGCGGCAGCGGCCCCGTCGGGAGCCGAGTCTGGACGGCAGCGATCGGCTGCATCGCTCTGCCGAGATTTTCGTCGGCCCCCTACCCAGAGATCCAACGCATTGAAAGACTCAGGACGGCGGTTTTTCAATTTTCAGCCACCAGGGGCCCTCGTCGGGCCCTGGGACCGTCAAAAAACGATTCAAGATGAAAAACCGGTCCTGGGGAATCCGTCGAGACTTCTGGGGACCCCGCATTGAAAAAAATCACGACATCGGATCTCTGGACACCCATATTTCCGACGATGTGATGTTTCCAGCGCCCGCCGGACCTCCCCGAAGCCTCCTATGGGACGCACAGAGACATACTCGTACT